TGAAACTAAATTTGATAATGTTGAGAACAATTTTACTCATACTGCCTGAGAGATTTGTTTTAAGGTAGGAGAGTAAAATGAATTGTGAGCTCAAAAAGAAAGTATGTAATTATGAAAGCACTGCATATGTTGGAATGAAATGCTGATGTAAGCGTGGGACATAATCATTTTAATAATAGACTAAAGCAGGCCTCTTCATAATTCACACATTTTTGTTAATGGGTTATTGCAAGCTCCTTTCTTCCCATAGTTGTGACAGTATCTTGTAGAGGCAAGGCAAGTTGTATTTGGGTCAGCTGTGCAATTCTCAACAAATTCAGTCTTTTACAGAGGGATGAATAAAGTATTAAAATTGGGCCTTGCATTCAATGATGTATGCCAGTGATTCCTTGCTCTCCAAGAGTTTATTTATTAAATCGGATTATTTCACATCAAAATCCAATAAAATGCAATCTCCCGTTTGCTTACGTGGCATGAAAGTAGTTCTAGATCCACTTCAAAACATAGTTTAAGATTTGGTTAGTACAAATATAAATTCCCTTTAATTCCCGTAGTCTGCTCGGCTAGCTGAATTCTAGAAAAAACAACCAACCTTTGCCTCCTCTTCATGGTGACCCCTGTCACAGGTCAGGATGCATTTAATAGCTGTTCAGCATAAATGCAACACAGATGTGAAACACCTGGTTTCATTGCGTTGCTGAGTGCATTAAATCCTGTAGCTGGCTTCTCTGGGCCTAATTGTGTTTTTTACATTATTATATGAAGGATGATAAGACTACTTAGTTTCCAAAGTGAATTTGTTTCTATCAGCTACCCTTATTCATTTGGCTCCTAGAATCCCAGTGATATCCAAAAAACAAATGAAGTGTAACCGTGTAAAGCTGTTTGGCGTGCGTTCATGTATCTTAGAAGGAACTGATATTGAGCACGTAGTTCAGATAATGTGTATCTCTTGTCCAATGTAAAATGAGTGTTAAGATCTATTCATGCCTCACTGCCCTTGCTGTAGGGAGTGAATGAAGCAAGGGGCAGGACCAGAAAATTAAGTCAAAGCATTAACAATTCTTGGTATTTGCTCTTTTCTCTTCATTTCCTTTTCTTTTGAGCTCTTTCTTTGTACCATTGTCCTTTCAGTAAAAGCCGTTCCTTTAGCATCTTTCTGTTCTTCTCAGGTTTTGTTTGTTTGTTTGTTTCATTGATTTTGACCTACAGAGTCTCCATCCACAAAGTCCTCTCAAATGCACCCATTGCCCACTAGTGTATGTGCCTGAGAAAATAATAGAGTTAAAAAAAAGGAGAAGATTGAAAACCAGGGACTAAGATCATTGATGATTATTGGAAACATGGGCCTTGGGCTTTACAAAGTAAGATGAGAGTAACGTTTGTATCATAGAATCATAGAATCATTAGGTTGGAAAAGCCCTCCAAGATCATCTGGTCCAACCATCCCCCTACCACCAATGTCACCCGCTAAACCATGTCCCCAGGTACCACGTCCAACCTTTCCTTGAACACCCCCAGGGACAGTGACGCCAGCACTTCCCTAGGCAACCTGTTTCAATGCCTGACTGCTTTTTCTGAGCAGAAATGTCTCCTCATTTCCAACCTGAACCTCCCCTGCTGCAACTTGAGGCCATTCCCTCTGCACTAGTCCTAGCAGAGTATGGCAATTCTGCTTCTTGAAGAATCTGCCCAAACACACAGTGGAATATTGCTTTCCTTCTCTAATCATGAATCACCAATATATAAACAATTTTAGATAATGCACAATTAAAACATGCATGCAGAGTTTTGGAAGTGGTGGTTATTTTGGAAATCAAATGGAAGCCTTAGAAGGAAAGCACTATCACTGTTTTTCCAGCTATTCTACTCTGACCCTTACCTCATAGCTGAAACTCAATGTTTCTAAACTGAATTCATCTGTTGTTTTACAGAGCTGTAATATCCACAACAGGCTGCATTAGTACTTCACAATACTGAATAAAGCCTTTCAGTGTATATAAAGCATATAAAGAATGCACAAGTTTCTCTTAAAAGGAGAAGCCTAGTCAAAACTCTTCACTGAAAGAAGCAAAATTGATAGAAATCTTACAACAGATTTAGAAGTTGAGTATGCAGGAGGGGATTGGTCAACTTTTGAGCAAGCAGTTTATATATGTATTTGGAAGATACCCAACAGAACAGTAAGAGAAATCTTAGTAGTTTTAGAAATTCCAATCAGACAAGCTTGGAAAAGTTAGTGTAGGTTTCTTCAATATATTTGAGCTTTTCCTGTGTTTCCAATACTTGTTTTTCTTCCTTCTCACTCCAGCCAAAGTAGATTTTTCTTTCTGTCTTTCAGTTTGCCAGCTTCTGAATAGTGTTGGATCCTCACCCTTAAATCTACCTTTCCAACAGTTCTAACATCAAGAATTCCTTCAAACCTCAGAGGGGTGACTTATCTATGGCTTTTCCATCTCTTTATACGTCATGCTGAAGAATGTACAAAGTTGTCCAAAAGTTTTTTTCTTTTTTTCCTCATCCTTCCTTTGCTTTCATGTCCAGACTCAGTGATTTACTGTTTTATTGTTTCTAAAATATATCTTCAATTATTTTTGTCTGCTAATCTAATTTTTACTTTCTAGAAGAAAATAAAATAAAATAAAATAAAAAAACAACTTTACAGCAGAGAGATGTTGTTAATTGTAAAATTACCTTGAAACTCTACTGTGGAGAGAGGGATGATGAGGAGAAAAAACAGATAAGTCACTAATGGCATTACCTAACAGCTTAAAGAAGAGCTGAGAGAGTATATCCAGAAGTTGTTGTTGTTGTTGTTTCTTTGTTGTTGTTTGTTTGTTTTTTTTTCCAAAGTCTCTACAGTTTGCTAATTTAACATAGTTTCTAAGTGTGTGGTAATTAAAAAAAAATAATAATTACACAAGCAATCCAGCAAAAACAAAAACAAAAAACATACTCCTTCTGTGTGCACAGATGTTATTTAAAAAAACAAGGAGATGTGTAAAACTGCTAGAATTCACTGCCTTCATATTTATACCTCTGCTGGTGTTATTCCATTCTAGTTTCCTTAAATTTTCAAATATTTTACCCACTAGACTACTAACTATATAGAAAAAAATTAGTAAGGAGGACACATTCTTAAGCTGTGATAGACTGTACCACTTGTCTCTCTCTCTCCCATGCAGGTTTTTTTTCAAGGTTTTAATAGAAATATAATGTAGGATGCTCTGTTGTCCTTTAAACAAGTTATATGTCATTTTAAAATAAAAGATCTTCTGTTAACCACATTCTGTTTCAAAGTTAAGAATACCTACTTTAATCAGATCAAAACTGTTGTAGAATGTATATATATCTTTGAAACCTAATACATATCTACTAGAAATATGTGAACAATTTATTATATTTGAGAAAATTATGTGAACAGCTTTTTTGTCTACTGAACTTTTCACTGCTAAAATTTAAACGGTAATTGTATTTCATAATAGTAAAATTTATCAGTAGGAAAACTTGACAAAAAGAGAATTTGGTATCTGTTTCACAAACTATGTTTGCCTCATAGAGCTTTCCTTTGCAGAATTTTGTGCATTTTTCTACAAAGAACCTAGAAGGATGCAAATGTAAAGGATTTGCCATCATTTTATTGTTTATAGAATATTTTGTTTTGATTCTTGAAGCTGACACTACAGCTTTGATTTTATGATTTTACATTAAACTAAGTTTAGTGGGTTACGTTCACCCCATTGTTTCTGATAGTTTTGAAATCTACCAGTTTTACAGAAAAAGAACTGTTTATTTTGGAAGAAATCTCTTAAAGCAAAAAAGTATAGACCCCTAAGGGTAACATGCTGTTGTGGTTAAGTGTCTTTCTTCCTATACAAATGTTAAATTAATGTAATTTAACAGATTAGATCTTGATTTTACACTAATGACATGGTTCACAGAGGATGTATTGTACCTCTTTGAATTAATATCAATTCTGTAAAGTGGAAGTAAATTATATTTTGAATAGTTGCCAAGAGACTGTTGTTAGAACACATGTTTTCAGTTCAAAAACATGTATGGAATTCATGTCAGTATTAAGCTGGGTCTACAAGACAGTGAACTCAGGAATTAAACTGCTATACGGTTCCAGTGAAAACCCTCATAAAGCCAGTGAACTTTTGAGAAGGCAATAAATTGTCATTAATGGGGCATGGAAATTCATCAGAGATATAAATGTATTATGGTAAATGAGAAGAAAGTTAATCTACAGAGGTTAGATATAAAGACATCGCTTTTACATCTGTCATTGAATTTCATATAATAGTAAACTGGCATTAAATTATGGAAGTGTAGTAATTGTAGGGCAGTTTACACATGAATCATTGATTCACTGCATGACTCAGAGTTTATAACAGGATAAACTATTTTTACCTTCACTCACCCGCTTAAATCCAACCCCAGCCTAAAGTGACTCAGTCTTGACCATCTGACAGCTGTTGAGCCTTTGGCGGTACGGTAAATTGATGGGGAAAGTGCTGTCACTGGACAGGCATTTGCAGGAGAAAACCCACTGCTATAGATTTGTGGTCGTGGTGGGGAAGTTAAGGATTACACGAGCGTGTAATATGAGAAGAACATGCCATTTATTTAGTCACTGTTCACGGAAAGATGATCAATCTGCCCATCAATAAAGAATGTGGAGCTGGAGCTGGGTGCGCATGAAATTTGTAAATTGGCTATACAGACAGGTGTTGCCTGTACTGCAAGAAGTGTTCAGACAGCGGATGATCCTGTTTACAGTGGAATTTCAAATTATGTTAGTCATTATCAATAAGCACTTTTCTAGCATGGACAAAATCTGAATGTGCTGAGTGGTTTAGATGTGTATTCTGAGATCTGATATGGGTCTAACATGCCTCTCAGGAGCAGAGTAGAAGACCTAGTCAGTTGTTGTTAGGTTGTTAGAGTGGTTTTGCTTGATATAAAAGAGATTTATTGCTCTATTTTCTATTTTACAGATAACCATTCAGAGGGACAGTGGTTTGGATGTCAGTTCCCCCAAACATGGAAAAGTGGATCCACAAAACATGCCTCATGTTGGTGGAAATACTTGGGCTGGTGGAACAGGTTTTCATTCATTATTTTTTATGCATCATGGAAGGATGTCTAAGAGAGAGGCTGTACTAGTCAGAAATGGATGTATACGAGCCTACTCTCTGCTTAGAGATAGTTTACTTAATGCAGAAAAGAAAATATTCTCTTATTATTTAATGCCTATTCATAATTTATTTATTTTGTATCTCTACTATCCTAGGTGGAAGAGACACTGCTGGGTTAGGTGGCAAGGGTGGCCCATATCGACTGGATGCTGGCCATAAGGTTTACCAAATATCGCAAGCTGAAAAGGATGCTGTTCCTGAAGAGGTTAAGAGAGCTGCTCGAGAGATGGGTGAAAAGGCTTTTAAACAGAGGTGAAAGTCTTTATTTTCCCTTTCATTTCCCAGAAGAACTAGGTAAAGATGACTGAAAGGAATTTTCTTTATTAACTACATTTAGCAGCTACCTTACCCTGATCATTATAATTTAACAGAGCTTACCAGCATGTGTTTAATTGTTCTGGACAGGATGTATAGAATGTTTTATTAAATTAAGCCACATTGTTGAAATGACAGTGGAGTTTGGTAGAGTAAAACATAGATAGGTGGGTAAGGAGACTGATGTGAATATTTTATCTTTTTTAAAAAGGGATCTACCACGTGAAAATTGTTTGAATTATGGTAAATACAGGTTGCATGTTGTTAGAAATTGGTCACCTAACAAATATCTTTTGAAATGGTCTATCATGAGCAAATTGCTTCTGTTTGAAATAATTGTAGCCTATTGCTTAGGTGATTTGAACTCTTAGATCTCAACAGACATTTCTATGAGAACTGTAGATCTTCCCTGCATTAGTGTAACACAGGGTTACTAACCAAGGATTTCTCATACCATGCACAGAGATTCAGATTTCTTCCACTGTCTGAAATTTCAGGTCAGCTCTGCTACTTGGCATAAAAAAACTAAGGGTATTGAGAGTCATACCAAATGAGTTTTATGTTTCAGCCCAGGACATAACTGCAGTGTGAAAGAAGAGAGTACTAGACAGATTAAAAGATCAGAGCAAATAAATTTAGAATCAGCTTTATCAGCTCACATTTTGCTCCTGTTAACAAAGTGATGCCCAATAGGAGGACAAATTTGGATACTATAAGGAGTAGGTGAGATTACATCAGTTGAAGCAAATGGCATAAATAAAAAGGCTTTCAAGCATAGAGCACATGCTGTACATGAATCAGTGTATTTAAACCCAGCAATTTTTCTGTTGCATTCAGGTCAAGTTTCCTTTTTTAATCTTGTTTTTATTACTAAATTGCCTGGAGCATTTAACATATTCATTAGAACATTAGTGATTAATAAAGACAGGGAATATGTACATATTATACTAGGGTTTCACAGGATGAGGTTCTGAAAAGGAAAATACCTTTTAATAGCTACATAATTTACACAAGCAGCATCCAGAAATTTAAATTAAAAGTAGTTACTTCAGGCTTTGCTTTCAGGGTGGAGGCAGGGCTGTCTTTTTTTCCTGGTGTTTTAGAGGGGCAGTATGGAGGACTACATTTAATCCTCTTTCTACAAAATTGCCTATCAGTTTTTCCATAATAAAACCAGTTGATACGTAAGGTCTTGGATACTGTACATATGTTTACACATATGCACACATGTCATGCTTTAGTGGGTTTCTAGCTGCCTGTATGATGCTTTGGAAAGCCCATGACAAGGGAAATTTGTAGATACCGATGCATGTTATGGCAGTAGTGCAGCTGTGTTCTGTAAAATCTGAGTATGAGCATATGAGATAACAGTTTGTGTCCTGCTAAAATCAGTAAACTAGCATGTACCAAGACACATTTGACTTGGATTATTATTCTGGAAACTAACAGATAAAAGTTAGGAAAAGGGAGGTTGGTGTCCTCAGGCTAAGAGAAAAAAAAAAAAAAGGATGCTGCAAATTTCACTGTTTTGCTTATATATGATTATCTGGTAGGGATAATTTTATTACAAAGGCTTTTGATTGCTGCACTGGCTAGCAGAAAACATATAAAATTGCCCTATTTTGGTAGAATGGAGTTAGCAACTACTCTTGAATAAATGCGGTATTTTTCATGGTATTTTTCTAAACTGGCTTTCATTGTGGATTCTACCAAAGTAAAACTGCATGTGAGATTTTTTGTTTGTTTGATACTTAAAGAAACGTTTTCCTCGTTGATAGCAGCTGTGAAGTAAATTAAAGTGTACAGCACTGAACATTATGTTTTCCGGCCTCTAATGAATAATAATAGTTGGCTATAATGACTACATCAGTACATAATTTGAAATAGAAAAATACGGAGTCATTCTAAACACAACAAGAATTTGATGTTTGATTTTAATGTTATTAAAGGTCTAGTCTAGACAGCAATTTGGATCTAAATCTATGGCGTTTTCATTCTCTACTGTAGAGTATATATTTCAGGCAAGTAACTTGTCATGGTATTAAAAAAATTGGCGTTTGAAATATGACTAGCCTAGACATACTTTAATAATCATTTGCAGTTCATTTAAAAATCAGTATTCTCAAAGCAGTGTGAGTAAGATTATGCTGTTATGAAGTGCTTGTGTTTGAAATAAGCTGTGCATGGATAGACCAATATGTTTTAGCTCAGGATTGAACGCAGACACATGGTTGGATAGCATGGGCAGATACAAGATTGCTGCCACACTACATGATGCTGGATCACCAAAAGTCTCAAATGTTGCACACATCCAGCATATCAATCTGTCCCCTAGCTCATACTTCACTGTTAAATCTCTAATTTCATTCTAATTTTGAGTTTCACCAGTTTAAAGGTATCTGCGCAGACACAATGTTGAGAAGAACAAAAGAACTTTTAAGTGGAAACGTCTTCATTTACGGAAGAAGCATGCATGTGTTTTTATAGTGCAGATGTTGCTTTCTCTGTTAGATGTCTGGACAGAATAGAGTTCAGTGACATGACTCATTTTTTGTGGGGGAGCACATTTTTATTCACGTTCATTTAAAGCTTCTTTGTTTCAAGATTTCGTCATTTTATGAAGTACAAACATAGGTATTTGAGACACATTGACTAGTCATAAATCTTAAACAACAGATTTGAGAGTGTGTCTTTACTTAACCTTTGCGTTAAAATGTGGCTTGTGATATGTTTAAAATACTCCAACAGTGAAGTAATGAATAGGCCCTCATGATCCTTGTATGTACATACAGCAACACCTGAGCCACTGAAACCTTTAGAATTTGATCACAGTTTTCAGAACATCTGATTTACATCCCAAACATGAAAGAAGATGAGGAGAGAGCCAGAGGATCAATAACTTTAATGTTTTAATGTGAGGCCATCCCTGTAGACATTGGCAATCACCTGACTTTTCAATAATTCAGATCATCTGCCATTTTTTTTTATTTGTGTCATGTCTGTTCATTACAGTCTGAATTTCCCTGTTATCAAGTAAGCAAGCCTGTTATGGTTTATATATGTAATGACTTATATGCATAAAAGGACAATGTTCTTATTTCCTAGACTGTTCTAAGCTCCCTATTCTTTGCTTTAGATTGAAAGAGATTCAGATGAGTGAGTATGATGCATCTACTTATGAAAGGTTCTCTGGAGCAGTACGACGTCAAGTTCAGTCACTCCGCATCATCTTAGACAATCTGCAGGTAATCTGAGATTCACTGGTAAAGGAACATGGTCAGCTCATTACATTATGCCCAAAATACTGTCCGGCTAATATTCAGTTACCATCTGGTGGTACCTTTGAGGGTTAAATGCGGATTCATGTTATAATCATTGGGAAAAACACAATCTCATACTACTGTTTCAAAGGCAGCTTTTAAGTGGATCTCAGTGCTCATCTTTATAAGTTACAGAGCTCACAGAGATTCAGTATTATAATTTTGTGAAAGAAAATACGATACATTATTAAAAGGGTATGTGACAGGTGTGTAGAGCACAGTCTTTGTCTTTACTTACTGTCCAAAAGACTTAAAAATGCAAATACTATAGGTGCTAAAAGAACAAAACATTTACTCCACATCATGGCTCAGCTGCATATGCAGCTGAAACAAATTTTTCTCGGGTTTATTTTTAAATCTTTAAAAATTTAAATCTTTTAAATCTTTAAATCTCTAAAAATAGGTATAGGCTCAGTCTCCAAAAGTGGAAGCTAACCAAAATCACTAGTTTGCTTTTCTTCTAGTAACTGGTCCTGTGGCTACTCCAGGTTTTATTAATGCTAGTGTTCACCTACAGTGTAAGTAAAACAAAAAGTGCGTTGTTGCAAGGAACTACTAGTCTTCAGTGAAAATGAAAAGAAAATAAATTTACTCCTTATAAGACATCTCTCTGATTAAAAATAATTCTGTTGAGGGCTCAGAGATCTCCTCATTCAATGATCATTTAGGATGGTCTTACAATAACACACTTTGATTCATACATGCACTTAGTATGTGTTTCAGTTCAGGACTTAGGCTTTTTTTTGTAAAGAGAGAATTCATTTGAAAAGTTTTAAGTATAAATCTTGGTTTTCCCTACATTATTTTTATCCAGATGGTTGTTTTTAACATGTTTCTAGCAGATATGCAGTTGGAAGCGTACTGTAGGACAAGAAGACAATAAGTGAATCTTCAGTTTAAATATTTTTTTTTAATCAGCTATATCTATTCCTTGGAGCCAAAATTGTTATATTCAAGGATCACATTAATCATAGTCAAAATATAATGTATTTCAATGTAAGTAGATATATCCTCTTCCTTTGTTAAAAAGGTCATCTTAATACCAAAGCAAAGACTTATAAGCCTCAGAATTTTATGAGACTTCACCAACTTCCTGGGAAAATCCATAACAGCTAACCACAGAGATAATAAATGTACAGCATGATGAAAAAAGCAAACTCAATGAATTTGGAAAAGCCAGCTCTTAGAATAAAAGCAATATTGAAAGCAAATTTGTAACTTTATGAATTTCCATACATGTTTTGGTATTTTATTTAGAAGATGCACTAGGTAGGTAATGAAGGTAAACGATAACAGGAGTTAGTTGAAAAATGCTTGCTGTTAATTGGGAAGCTGAATCCAAGCATGTTTTATTTTATGTTACTGAGAAATAAATATTTTTTATTCAGATTCTACAATGTGGTAAATCAAAGCCATTGAGAGATATGCCACTGTCTCCCATTTTTTCATGGTAATCTTACATACACTATGAGTTCTCAGTTAAAACTGTTTTCTTTCTCTTTTATCAATCAGACATTCCTCATTTCTCAAATAAATCTCAATGGTACAGTACTGAGCTACTTGATACCTCTGATGTCAGTATAGATTTAAATTTCTGAAAATCCCACATTACCTTTTCAGTAGAGAACACTTTTGGCTTTCTTAAAATGTGTTTGCCTTGTTTAAAACATACTGTGTTCACATAATGAAAATACATTGTCCATGTTTAAAATCCATTTCACCTGGAATTTCTTTTCAACATATGTCTTTTTATTGCTAGGTTTTGTGGTTTTGTTTTAAAAATTATGTTTCGATGATTAACTTTTACATCCCAAGAATCAAGAGACTGGGATTCTAGTCCAGTTGCTGATGCCTCAAAAAGCAGTAACAGCAGCAAGAGATATTTGGAATAGGCTGATCCTTGAAAGCAATGCAGAAATACAGTCTGAGAACATAATTTCATTGTTAGTTTTACTTTACATAACTCATTGATCTCTGTCAACTATTTGAACAAAATTAACAAAACATTACAAATTGTCGTTGATCTTGTGTAGAAATAGCAAACCAGAACTCCAGGAAACTGAGTCAGTGATGAGCTTTATTCTCTCTCCTAATGCTGACCATCCCCAATGAAGCTTGTACATGTGAACTAGATTCAAAACCTTCCAGTTACTCAGTGACTCAGAAAGGCCTTCTTAGATTTTATAGAATCATACTATCATAAAGGTTGGAAAAGACCTCCACGATCATCTGGTCCAACCATCCCCCTACTACCCCTATCACCCACCAAACCACGTCCCTAAGCACCACGTCCAACCTTTCCCTGAACGCCCCCAGGGACGGTGACTCTACGACCTCCCTGGGCAACCTGTCCCAGTGCCTGACTGCGCTTTCTGGGAAGAAATGTTTCCTCATTTCCAACTTAAACCTCCCTTGGTGTAACTTGAGGCCATTCCCTGTAGTCCTATCACTAGTTATTTGTGAGAAGAGGCTGACCCCCAGCTCCCCACAGCTTCCTTTCAAGTAGTTATAGAGAGGTCGGCCTTAGCCTCCTCTTCTCCAGACTAAATAACCCCAGTTCCCTCAGCCGCTCCTCATAGGACTTGTGCTCCAGGCCCCTCACCAGCTTTGTAGCCCTTAGATGACTTGCCCTCTGGAAATACTCTTTTTGATTACAGAGGGAGTCTGGGGCAACTGCCCCTGTAGCTTCTGAGCATCCTTTAGGCACCTACATTTAAACTGGATGAACCTGGGCCTGAGTCACTGAGCCTAGTTGGGCTCCGTCTGATTTAGGCTGTGTGGGAATTGTCATGTCAGAGCAGCAAGAGTGAAACAGTGGCAGTCCGGTAATAAACATAGCTCAGAGAGCTGAGACGGGAAAAACCCTGTGCTATGTCAGTAGTAGGTTTCTGGTTTCAAAAACTACATTTTTCTGGGAACATATGCATAAAGTTTTCCCAGAAACAAATGAAGACTACAACTGGGAATGTTTCATACAAACCTATACCATTAAATGTTTAAATACAGTCGTTTCATATGCATTTTTTGAGCTCTTTACAGACATCATGGTTATATTTTGTAATATTTCTACATAAGTATGCCTTTGGTGTCTTTCAGTGAGAAGAATTACTGCAGTGGTGTATTATCATTAGTGTTGTCATGCTGATAAGACAGGGTATCTAGCACAATTTTTCTAATTTTAAAACCACCACAAGAAATATATATACCATTTTTTCATCAGTTTGGTGTTAGTATATTGCAGTGGTATTGGACTGTATGACCCTTCTAGGAAAATACCAAAGTGATGTATATATATAATAGTTCTGTGTTTTCTCCTAAAAACATAAATACCCATATCACTTTTAGACTTAAGAAATTTATATATTGAAATTGTTCTGAAACTTACCTTATATATATATGTGCACTGTATAACACAAGTGCTTAAGGTGAGATTTCTTTAACTTTTATAAAAAGAAATAAATTCTTGGAAATTCTGCACTGAGTAGGCAGACGTTGAGTAGTCTAAAAATTTTAGTATTATTTTGCAAAGATGTTAGGTCAGATTTTGTTAGTATTATTTCCTATTTTAAGAGAGAAATGTAAACTCTTTAACTCTAATAAAATTTCAACTCCAGTACTGTGTTTTTTTGTTGCATAGGCAGAACATAGCATAAGTTTCATAAGCTGGTAAATGGTCGGATGGATTTTTAATTACGTTCATAATTAAAAACAATTTTCTTCCCACACTGCTGTTCGTTGAACATCAAATAGTGCCAAAGCTAAAACTTTGTCGGTGCAAGCAGAAGTGAAACTAGTTGAGAATTTGCTCAATGAAGCTGAAATTTTATATACTCTTCTGTTGTTTTTCCCTCATGTTTAATGAAAGGAAGCAAATGACAAATGTTTGACAAAACAGCAGCCCTCGGGAAGTGTTAAGGCTCTATCTGTGTCCCACTATGCTGGTGGCTAAGATGACTAGGAACAATCTCATCTTCATCATGCTGGAAGTGCCATGATTCACTTTAGACAGGCTCTGTTCACTGAACAGCATGTTGTCTCCAGGAGCACTTTGTAATGGTTAGTTGGAGCGTTGCAATTTGCCATGGGTTATCCTACTGTGTTTTTCACAGTGGGAAAACATTTACAGTTTGACACTTTGGTGGAGCAGTTAGAGGTCACCTGGAATTTGCAGGTGTCTTCTTGCAATGTTACACAAGTCTGAGGGCAGCAAAGGAGTCAATGAGACTTTCAAACTTCATACAAAGAGTATTTAATGGTAGCCGAAGCTACCAGTTTGGGGTACAAATTCCTGGATGTCCTGTCCCAAAAATGGGTTAAAGCTAGGCCAGCCATAACACCACTAAAATATATCACAGAGCACAACTGACTGAATTCAGAACCCCTAAGAAATCCTTTCCACTTTCCCCTCCTGTGATTTACTAAGATGCTGAGGTTTCCATATATTGGCATTGTTATTTCTTCCCATCAGGAAGCATCTGTAAAGCTTCTGACACAACCTAACTAAAAACTGTGCTTGACTCAGCTGTGTTGATTCTACACTGTAAAATGAACTAACCAAAACATTTTCCCTGCGGCTTTGTATTCTTTCTGCACACTTATTTTCGTAGATAACTAGTCCATTAGTCTTGAATATGCAGTAGGCAGTAGTCCAGAATGCCTTTTTCCATATGCTCTAAAAAGAAAAACCTCATAAATTTTGACCAAAGTGATTTCAAAGATTCTCTGAGCCTTAGGAAGCCATCATCTGACCACTCAGACTGTACAAAATTACAAAGATTCATCCTCGCAAATCCCAGGCCTACTTGGGATTTGTAATATAACACTTCCTGCTTGTCAAAGAGCGATTTTCATTCCTGAGGTCCAATGTCTACGGCAGTTTCTGTCCTGCTGAATATATGATTTACCTCCAGCTGCTGACCAGCAATTTTCCTGATAGTGCAAATGCATTATACATAAAAATAAATTAAAATAATCTTACGTAGGTGGGTTTACTGCTGGGATGAGCAACTGAAAATGAAATAAAGCATAAAATACATATATGCATACTTTGCCATTTTTTGATGGATCTTATGACTTATGAACATGATAAAGCTACCCATTTTAAAGCATTCTTAAAATGTTTTTTGTAATCTTAAGCACTTGAATCTTCAGTGCTTGCTTTTATATACAGGAGTTCCAGGAATATTTTAGTTGCTGGATTGTAGCACATGTTCATCAGGCCAGGCTGTAGATAACCATTGCTCTTTTCAAAAAATTGAAAGAAGCATTTAGTGAAGTGTCTCTTGAGTATCACAGTTTTCAAAGTTTTTATTTTAAAATAGAAAATAGCATATTATGAATGTTGTTTTAAAAGAAGACACCTTTACCTGAGGTTAATACTGCTTAGTTTCACATTTGTGTCACCCATTATTTTTTTTCTTCTTGTGCTACTTGGGTGGAGAATCCATAATATGTGGTCAGTTATGTGTGTCCTTCTGGTTGTATTTCTGAATAGATTTTTTACACAGATTACCAGCACATTTGCAAGGAAAAAAAAATGTTAACATTTTCACAGTCCACAGTTAAACTGCCATATATCAAAATACTTACAGATGGCAAAATTACAGAGGGAATGTGTCCTTTGTCAGTATTAATTTTTCTTTTAAGGTAAGAAAGTATGAGAGCTATGAAAATGTGTTCATTGACTTTCGCCAAAAATATTACATAAATACAAAGGAAGTTCATTTGTATGTCATATTCAGTAGGAATCAAATTGCCTAAAATACATCCGCATCACTAAGTGAATTAAGGTGTGGGTTTTTTTTTTTTCTGTTGTAGGCCAAGGGTAAGGAAAGACAGTGGCTGAGACACCAAGCTGTTGGAGAGTTAGATGATGCCAAAATCATTGATGGGCTGACAGGAGAAAAAGCCATTTATAAACGACGGGGAGAGCACGAGCCACAAGTAAGTATCCAACAAGTAGCAAGGGAACGTAGGGAAAGATCTGAACAGGTTTGATGGTTTCTTAGGAGCTGTACAATATATGTGTTTGGAATTTGAGTGAGGTATAGAGATGAGATGCCTTAGAACAACCATCTCTGGCACAGGAATTCACTGAGACAATAGTGACTGCAAGATGGAAGATTTGCTTCACTTTTTCTTACAGTTTTCCACAGATTTGCCACTGTTAGAGAGAGTATGCTAATCGAGACAGCCTTTTGTTTCCAATTCAACTCAATTTATCCTCTTACTTTATATTTTAATGAGCTGAAGGCAATTATCAGAAAACTGTTTGTTTATCTAAAAAACGAAAAGGGAAAGATCTTCTCACTGATGTAATTAAATTTATTTTTTTTAATATAGACCCTGATACCCTAGGAAGTTTTAAAAAAGCGGAACATTTTACAAATCTGTTCTTACTCTATGATACTCAAAGCATTTGGGCTTTCACAGGTATTTGGATTTACAAGAATAAAAACAGTAATGAGAAAAAAGTGTGAGGCAAAGCCATTAAGGTATGATAAAATGGTCTATATTGTGGCTCATTTCAGCTTTTTCTTAAACGATATGATTAGGCCTTACATGAGGCTGCAACAGTGAAACCAGTTGAATCAGACCAAAAAAACCTGGCCAGAACTGGTGTGGCAAATCAATAATATTTAACAGTAGTAATTAATGATAGATGACTTTTTTTTTCAATCTTTTTTGCAATTTGGACATTAAGATTGTTTTTTTAAATAGGTGAGTACAACACCTTTTTGCACATCAGCTATCCCACATTTGATGAATCTCTGTTATTTTTATTTCTGCTATGTGGTCCTGATGTCTGATACTTGGACCAGTTCATAGAAGTTGGCCTTGCCTGTGTGAAAGATCAATAATGGGAAAAGTGATTAGATCTTCATTTGTAGTCTTTTTCAAAATGAATTACACAATATATCTGTTTTAAAACTTGTTAAAATAGTTCAGTTACCACAGGAAAAAAAAAGGACATGTTTAAATTTTGCATTAAAAAAAGTAGGATTTAACGTAGGATTTAATGGGTCTTGTTCCTCCTGCTTTTGGTAGAACTTGTTCCACAGTTAATTGAGGGAATAATTAAAAGTGTGAAGCACACAAGTGCTGGCAACTCTTTACAGGTAATAGAAACATTTTAGGTATTTGTTTTTAATGCGACTGTTTGTTTTTATTGTTGTTTTGGTTTTGGTTTTGGTTTTTTGCTAGATCATATTTAAGAGCCTTCTACTTGAGTGCAGACTCATCTTACTGCACACTGTATAAAGCAGAGCCTTTGAATGTACTGTGCCAGTAATTGTTAAAACAGATGGGGACTGTTTTCAGGAAAAAATAATGGTTTCAGGATCAGAATGAAGAAAAAAACTAGTAGTTAATCAGAACAAGATTTCAAACATTTTTAGAACATTATTAACCTCAGCAGACAAGATTTTACAGTCTTATAAGGGTCCCTGTTAGTACTGTAAGCCAAGGAAAAACATTTCCCTTATGAGCCTTGGCAGACAGAGCAAACTTGAGAGTCTTCTTACTGAAATAAAACATAAAGAATGAAAACTGAGGCAGAAAAAGTATTTTCCTGACAAGCATGTATGGAATTCTTCAAGTTTTTTTTCTTTCCAGTCACTTGAAGGTGAGGGGAAAGAATAAATTGAGGTATCTGTTCAGTAATTGTTTTGAAACAGTTAGAAAAAAAAAAAGTTAAAATGGTTTTGTTCTTTTTTTTTTAATATATATAATCAGTGTTTGCTGGATAAAGGTTTTGTGCTCTGCACAGTCCAGTGGGTTCTTTCTAAAATGTGTTTTCTTTGTGTGGTGTTTAGTTTTCTCATTTATACCGTCGAAAACTCTTTTTTTGTGCTGTGTTTCCTTGTCAGCCTGGAAGCCCCCAGCAGAAACCTAAACGCTTGCGCTTGGTGGTGGATGTCTCTGGGAGCATGTACCGCTTTAATGGGGTGGATGGACGACTGGAACGCTCCATGGAGGCTGTCTGCATGGTCATGGAAGCTTTTGAGAATTATGAGCACAAATTCAAGGTAATTACAGCTGGGCTAAGAGGTCTGTGGTTATGGCTCAGACTGTGTGGAGCAGTGGAAAAAGTGTTTCAGCAGTCAGTCTAGCCAAAGAACATTATTCATTCCTGCAAGGAAATAAAGGCATTGATCTGTTTCTAGCAATCTGAAAAATCATGCTAGTGAATGGATAAGAAACATTACACACTTCAGCAGGGGAGAGTTCAATTTAAGACTTTAAGACTTTAATTTCATGAAATATGCTGCCTTTTTTCTGCACTTTTGTTTATTTGTTTCTTCATACAGAAAAACTTAAGACTGCAAAACATAGGTAAGTATGAGCTTTGGGACATGCAAAAATGCCCAGCCTTTCAATCTCACCCCAGAGTATAGACAGTATTAATTTCTGATGGAAAGAAACCAAACTTCTTTGTCCATTAGTTATGTTCTCTGTTACCTAAAAGGAAGAAAATAATTTCTTCTACTGGAACATATTGGGTCCAGAATGTTATTTAATAGTAACCTGCAAAAGAAATGTAAATTAATTTTATGTTCTTTTTTATCTCTGTAAACAGAAACAAGGTCTAGGGTTATATTTCTTGAACCTCAAAAATGACAAAAATGGCCAATTCTTGGCAAACTCAAAGTTTAATGAAAGAATAAGTATGTCCAACTGAAGATCATCTCGATCACGAGACATAAAATGCATCTGAAAAAAATGTAAAATCTTCTAAACAAAATCAGTAGAAAACTTAGTCCCAATCAATCCGATCATGTTTGCTTCACATTGTTCCTCTGATAGCATAATCCCTACGTTTTCTGCTCTTCCATAGTGTTTCTTGTACAAAAACAGGTCATATGGAGGCATGTGCTTTAAGAATGTCGTCTAAAAAAAAAAAAACCATAATCATTTATACTTCCGTTTGTCAGAAAAAAATGCTATAAAATGAGACAGGCATTGTGTTTTTAGCCTACTTTCCTAGGCAAATCTTGTGCTGTCCTACTCTGTCAGTCATTTTTTTTCCCCTTGAACTTCAGAACATATTACTTAATTTCAAGCAAATTTGAAACAGTGGTTGAGTTCCCAAAGATACCACACTTCTGCAAATGTCATAAAAATGGGACGGGTAGGTAGTGAGCCTCTGTTTGTGTTTGTGTTGGAAAAAAATTCTGTAACCATAAGATTAGACCTTAGCCTAGAGAAGCTGTGTGGGAGCTCAACTGTAATTAGGAAATAAATGGGAAGGGGGTTTAGTGGCGTAGTTGCTCACATAGCGCTTGCTCACTGAGAAGAGATATGTTAATAACAAATATTAATGGGGTAGCATAATTATATAACAAAATTTGTATGGCTTGGTAAATCGAAAATATTTGAGAACCATGCATGTTAGTATTACCAAATGCAAGATCATCCACAAAGGAATAAGAAATAGAAGTAGCGGACACATGGATAACTGTGATAAATTGGGGAATAGTCAACATGGCCTTTGTAAAGGGAAGCAATGTATTTTGAAGAGTCGATATGTATGTGACAAGCAAGGCTGGTTGATGGAGTCTCCTTAGCCAAAAGCATTTGACAAAAAGTCCCTCACCATCATCTCATAAAGAAACGGAACTACTTTAGAGATAAAAGGGAAGGCCTTCAAATAAATGAACTACTGCTTAAAATACAGAAAACACACAGCTCTAAGTGGCTGTTTTTCAGAGTGAGGAAGTAAAGGAAGGTCACTGGTGAAACTACATTAGGATTTGTGCCAGTCCCCTGTTGTTCATAGTAATTCTTGAGTGAATATTTGTAAGTGATTTGGACAAGAGGACAGCGAGGTGATAAAAGTTGCTATCTGTATGAAGTTATTTGGGAAAACAAGAAAGGAAATCAAACTGCAAAAAGTTGGAGAAAAAGACTTGGCAATAAACAGTCACTGGGAAATAAAATGGCAGATGGTGTTTGGTGCTATCAAATGTATAGTACTGCAGATGGAAAAAATAATCCTAATTTTAAATACACAGTGAGAAACTCTCAGCTGTCTACTGGTGTTCACTCTCAACTATTTATTAGTGCTCAGCAAAGAAATCTTGTAATTATGGTGTATGGTTCTTTGAACACTCAGAGCCCACCAGCTGTCAAAAGGTTAATTGAATGTTAGAAAAAGAACAGAGAACAAAGCAGAAGGCATCAGAATGCCCCTGTAAACATCCACAGAGCATCCACTTGAGGAGTAAAATATGCAGCTTTGGTCCCCCATCTCACAGAAGTTCTTGTAGAGCTGAAAGATGTAGATGAGGTGGCAGGGATTATAATGGGTTTGGAAGTGTCCCATGTACAAGAACTGGCTAGATAGGCAAGAACAGCTCAGTTTAGAGGAGATAAAAAATCAAGGAACTGATAAAATCTTGAGTCAGCTGGAAAAGGTAAACGGAACGTTTTTTCACTGTTTTAGCACACCCATTCTTCAGTTGTGAACAATGAGTCATTCTACATTTATGCAATAGAGAACAGTGTCTTAGAAGGTAATGACACTGAAAAAGATGTAGTGTAGTACTAGATAACCTTTTGTCCTTATTTCCAGTGCAGCTTTATAGCTGAGAATGCAGACATGACCCTCAGGTGCATGGTAAAGGAATAACATGTAGAACTAGACAGCCAAGCAGTTTCATGTACAAAATCAGTAAGGTAATTAAAAAACATGTTCAGTTCTGGGATTTTTAAATCTAAGTATCATTACCTTTCAAATCCCTCTGTGTCTATTACAGATTATTGTATTTGTTTGGCAGTACTTGCTGTTGGCTGGTGTTTTGCACCACACATAGGTGAAACCCTGTATTTTGCCACATAAATAGCTCAATACGCAGTTAGGTGCAACAGTAAATGTGCTCTCTAACACTTAAAATTTATAAAAACACTGACACCGAAACTATGTGCAGTTATTAGTTGTGAAAATTGCCACTCTGATAACAGTAAGACAGGAGTTATATTGTCCTCACAATCTCTATGAGTCAAGAGAATTATAAGGCTAATTTTATACTTAAAGTAACAGTGGTTGAGGAAGATGCTGGAAATTTTAGTGATAGGGAGAAAAAGTTGTTGTGACATCTGTGTACATCAGATGTGTACATCTGATCAATTTAAGCTGGTTCTGGGACAACTTTCCTTCATTTAAGGCTTCTTCCCCTAGAGAGAGGACTTTCGTGAGCCAGTAATAGCACTTTGATTCAAGGCACACCAGATCCAGTGTGAGCTCTCTCAAATACAGAGCTGCATTTGCACAAGGGGAAAAAAAGTATTTTTCTTCTTCCATCTCTCTCTTTGATGCCTCATTGGGATTTGATTCACTCCAATCATGGTATCTACACAAGTATTATTTCTCCCTAGAAATAACTAGAACATCAAACAAGATGTGGCCTTATATTTCACTGAACACTGAAAATGAGAACCAACAGAACCATTTATTGGGTTTGAACTATAGTCTTAACATGATCCAATGATTAGGCTAAGTATCTCTTTTTAACCTATGTGACACGGTCCTCTCATATCAGAAGTCTCCCAAGCATGTGCCAACAGATTCCTTGAGTCATTTCTTTGATAAAAATAAGAGCATTTCTAAAATATCCAGCTCTAAAATACAAGACTTCATAAAATCATAGAATCGTTTGGAAGAGACCTTAAAGACCATTTAATTCCAGCCTCCCCCACCATGGGCAGAAACACCTTCCACTAGACCAGGTTGCTCAAAGCCCCATCCAACCTGTCCTTGAACACCTCCAGGGATGGGGCATTCACAGCTTCTCTGGGCAACCTGTGCCAGTGCCTCACCACCCTCACAGTAAAGAATTTCTTCCTCATATCTAATCTAAACTGACCTTATTTTAGTTTGAAGCCATTCCCCCTCATCCTATCCCTACACTCCCTGACAAAGAGTCCGTCCCCAGCTTTCCTGTAGGCACCCTTTAGGCACTAGAAGGACACTATAAGGTCTCCTTGGAGCCTTCTTTCTCCAGGCTAAACAACCCCAACTCCCTCAGCCTGTCTTTGCAGGAGAGGTGCTCCAGCCCTTTGATCATCCTCATGCCCTCCTCTGGATTCACTCCAGCAAGTCCATGTCCTTCCCATGCTGGGGCCCCAGAGCTGGATGCAGCACTCCAAGTGGGGTCTCACAAGAGCAGAACAGAGGGGGAGAATCACCTCCTTCTACCTTCTGGCCACACTTGTTTTGATGCAGCCAAAGATACAGTTGCTTCCTTGGCTGCAAACACACATTGCAGGCTCATCAACCAACACCCCCAGCCCCATTTGTAAGAGTCATAGCAATACGTGCTGCAAATTTGAGGGGTTTCTTGAGGGGTTTTCTTGCATAACAAGTGTTGAATCTGGGGGACCTTCAGGCTTGTTGAGTAAAACATTCAAGGGGGATTTGCAAGGTAATGTTCCCTTTTACTATCAAAGCACAGTGCAAGCTTTGGAAACCAGTTCTTGGCCTTTGCTCAGGATCACCTTTCTGCTCGTACCTGGTTTACTTCTATGCTAAATAAGGTTGTGAAAGAATCAGGTGGGTTTTTTTATGGGTGATCTATCCTGCCAGCTGAACTCTCCACATGTGTGGTATCCTTTGAGTACCACTGATGATGATTGGTCTTTCTAGTACTGAAAGAAGGTAGAGAGTACTTTCTCCCTTCCTCCTTTACAGAGATGCTAAGCATTGGGTATGTGGCTGTACCAATAATTATGTTGTCCTTCATAGAAGGTTAAAATAGTGCCAGCAGGTATTCGTTAGCTTTTCATGCCTGTGCAGAACAACGTGCCTGCTTCCATTTCCCGTAAGTGCAGGCAGTGCATCTTTCCTTGTCAAGGGGGGAAATGGGAGGCTCATTCCACAGTCAGAAAACCCATTTACATTAACCCAAAACAAAAAAACTGTTTCAAAACCCACCTCCAATGTCATCTCATCCATGCTTCTTCATCCAAGTAGTAAAGAAAAGAGTGGGAGGTGGGAGTGATTGACATAATAGAAGCCACGTTCTCAGTCTCATCCTAATGATGGAGGTTAAATGTGACCCTACACATGCACCTGACCCCTTCAGATGTGTGGCTGCATAACCTCTATATATGTAAGTTATAACAAGCAAGGTTTTTTTTGTTCAGGGTTGAAGTTCTTGCATCTTTTGTACACCTTATTGCACATGTCAATTATTAGAAAATGTGCAGAAGGGCAGTTTATTCTTTGTTTTAGCAGAGGTAGTATTATGTCTGTCGCATAAACCGTATGGTTTTATATCATCCCTAATTACTGTCATTTGTGCACATGATGGCAGATTTAAGAGGCATGTCCAGTAAATTATACAACGGCAGTTTTATGAAGCCTTTAAAAAATTGTAAGTGGTTCAATAAATGGCATATTATGTAACTAGTAGGAAGAGTCAGAAATTTTATTTATAGCAATATTAAAGGGACAATGCACATTTTTAATGCCAATTTCAGCATTCTCCATTTGGATAATTTACTTATGGAGTTAATTACTTATTACTATTATTACTGAATACCTTATTACTTCTAATTACCTTATTACTGTTAATTCTGGAAAAGAAAAAAATTTTCTCATGCTTGGCAGAACAGTTTCTTTTAAATAATAAACAAAAGGCTTGAAATGAATTATAAAAGATGCTCAGTGTTGTCCGAAGAAGAGATGAATTTATAAATACCTAGCCCTCCAGTAGAGGCCTGCCTAATTCACACTGCCTTTTGCATTCAGCATGCATCTTCTTTCAGCTTTTTTTAAACGCCTTCAGAAATTAAACCTTCTAGTACAGCAGCTGCAGAAAACAGTCTTCCATTTTACCCATTTGAAGCAGCAACAGTGGTCCATTTTGTGCAAAATGTAACAGTGGAATAGGGATTGGTTTAGCCTGTAAGGAAAGAAAAACAGCAAAATGATGCTATTTGGAGAGACAATGTGTTTACATGTGTACTCAAAGCTCTGATTAGAGCAGTTCTTGTCTCAGTGTACCTGAGGCTGGAAAACAAGCTTCCCTGTACCACAGTAATATATTAATTCAATTAAGGCTGAACTGTAACAAACAAGTATTTTGCTGCTGGATTTGTCCTGAGAGCCTTTTCTTGCACGCTATTTTATAAAACAAAACAAAACAAAAACTGCCAGTCCTATGCTGACTTAAATCAATCCAAGCCAGTGTTTCTGTGTTCCTGCCCCAGCTTGTGCAGTAACACAAGGGGGATAAATCCATGGTGATTGTTACTAGGAGTTATAGCCATCCACACAGACAGTCAAGCTGAGTTTAAACTCAGCCTTTTTGAGATAAAAGGTTTGCCCGTTAGTACGGTGTACCAAGAACCAAAGTGGTATTCCCAAATAGCAAAACATGTCCTGTTCCTATGAAGTCTGTCTACCAGGACACCTTGGGGGAGAGGTCCACAAAATGCTGGGAAGGAGCTCTTACAGAGCATTCAGGCTTCATTTTACACAGGAGAATGAATTTTGCTTTCCATAATTAGGTTGTTGATTTTAAAGGGGATACAAAACTGCTCAGCAAAGGTCTTGCAGGGTTTTGAAATTAAGAGCCTATCCTGAAGATCTGTGGACGCTGTTGTCGTTATGTAAGAACCACGTTAGCGCTGTATGCTTTCTGCTCCATTGAGCCACTGCTTTATTTAGTTCCTCTGATTTGAATAACGTCTCGTTTTTAAGTGTGTTCAAGTGTGTTCAAGTTCTTGATCTCATCCTGTAGTAATCCCAAAGTGTGCTGAGTGCAACCTCAACATTATTCTCAAAATGTGTGTGTTTTCATTTGCTATGTCTTTTCTCTGGCAAAGATAACTGTTTTGGGACAACAGAAACACCAGGTAAATATTTGTCAGGAAAAAGAGAGTGAAGACTTAACAGTGAGGAAAGGTTATATGAGCAGAAGCAGGTTTTGAAGAGAAAGACAGAAAGGTTTACTTGAGGCTGGGTAGCAAATACAAGACATGGAAGAGCTGAGAGAACAGGAGTTGGAAAAGCCAACAGAGCAAAATGATATGGGAGTGCATGGAGACTAGATTATATTAAGATTTCCCAGAGGAAGAAATTGTGGGTTATGTGAGGCAGTCCTAAAAGTATGAACCTGAGTGAAATAACCTATACGTGGCACATTTGCTCTTTTGTAGAGGTGTCACATTTAGGAATGTTGTTCCAGCTGCTATAGCTTTCTTTTAACCTTGATAAGTAAATTGTCATAGTGGAAACGAATAAAAAGAGCTTTGTTGATAAAGAATGCCATTTCTTCAATCTCCACAACCCGACTTGTACCAAATAAAGTGGTACTCGATAGAAAAGACAGGAAGACTTTGAGAACGAGACCCAACTTTTGCCATGTGATTACATTGGAATTAGGGACCTCCAGGCACCACATGAATAAAAGGTAACAGAAAGGCAAAATATTGCAGAAGGGCTCCCTGTCTGCTAGAGACAGCTGTGTGCCAGCTAGGCATGGGAAATAAAGGCATGTTCATGCAGCTCTCCAGGGGCAGGTCATACGAGCTGCAGTACACTGAGGATTTGGTGGCTCAGGATCCAGGCAGTGCTCTATCACTTGGCGTAGACAGCTCTTAAATACTCTCTTGTGCTGCTGGTGAATTCTCCCTGGGGTGATTGCCATATCCACAACACAAAGGTCAGGTCAGGACCTTGCTGTAACTCGGCTTGTCTTGGTTTTCATGCAACTCTCACATAAAACAAAAGCCTTCCAACTACTACCTTATTTGTTCAACAAGATACTTGAACTAATACATCTCTACTTGTCATTTGTGCTGCGTCTTCTACAAGGGAATGCTCTTTCAAAAACGTACAGAGACTCTTGGAATTCACTTCTCCACACACTCTTAACAATGGTTTTGATCTATTAATGCACAAATATAAGGAATGCTGATTTACAAAAAAAAAAAAAGCTTGTAGTACTTTTTTCAGAGCAGAATGAGGTCACAAAAACAATTCATCAGGCATTGAAGCTACTCTTAAACAATGCACTTTTTGTTTGTCAGACTCAAGAGAAAGAAAATTACTACTTTAAAAAAAATAAGTGGACAATGTGAGAGGGCAAGGTCTTGATCTTATGCATCACTGCTCTGCAATATGTGGGGTGAGGTGAAAAACAGGCCATAGAAATAAGTAACTGTTCTTTAATTTCATTAGTTAGTGATTCTCTCCAATGTTTTCATGTCAGCGAGAAATTTCAAGTGGTTCCCTTAAGCAGCTCATAAACGTATGCAGTGAACAGCATTTGGGTTTTCTTGTTGAAAGCAAATTGCCTTTGATCTTTCTCCTGTCACTGTAACCCGAGGACTGCGTATGACTAACAGATGACTGATGAAGTTTCTTTCTTGCAGTACGATATTGTTGGACATTCAGGAGATGGCTTCAACATCGCCTTGGTTGGGAGTGACAAAGTTCCCAAGAACAATAAGCAAAGATTAGAGATTCTTAAGGTAAATCCTACTGATAAGTGGTGCTGGATAATTAAGGATTTTATGACTGCAAAGCATTAGAAGAGTGAAATAGAGGAGAGATAAGGAAGCAAAATAGGTGTGATTGCATATAGCTGAAAGAGAGCCTTTCAGAGACTGTCAAAATAATTGAGGCTAGATATGCCTTTTTTGGGACAGCTGTGTTGTGTCATTTTGTCTGTGTGTCAAAGGGTATAGGAAATTCCAGACATTATATAGTGATATATGCAGTTCTACCTAAATAACGTGGTCATAATATTAGCATGTAAGTGACTGATATAAACTGTAGAGGGATCCTAGATCATCAATTAGCCTTGTACCTTCGAGAATTAGTACGTCACAGTAGCAGTGGGAAAGTGCATCAATGCTAGATGGGAAACGTTAAATCACAATTGCAAGATGACTGTATTCATCAAAATTTTACTGCAGTAGGATGCAAAAAAATCAGGTGTATTGCAGGATTTACCTGTTTGACAGTTTGATGCATTAGAGCCGTATATTTGAGCTTCCTTCAAATATTATTTTTAAAAGATTTGGTTTAGAAGGACTGGATTTTCTAACATCTAAACTTCCCCACCTTCTCCATAGGAAAGAGTCTCATCAATGCAGGCAGTGTATTTATTTTATAAAAGCTCAAAGCAAATGTTTCAACGTTTTTAAAACTTGCTGCCACTATCTGAATCAGATATTTGATACCAACCGTGACACTGTTAGGACTTGGAAGTCTAGTGCAAATTATAAACAGGTGGGAACTGGTCGCAGTGTTAGGAAACTAAGCCCTCTTTCTTAAATAAATAGCAATGTAGCTACTACTCAAACTGCAGCTGATCAAAGTATTTTACCTTCCTCGGGGACCCATCTAATTCTGTAATTCTGTCCATATGTCATTTTGTTTGTTTGACCCAGTGTGTTTTTAACAACTGATGCCTGGCTTATGATAAAACATATCACATATAAAAAAAATGCATCTTCTGTGGTATCTGGAGCACTGTCCGCATTTCTGAAGATGCACCCCCCTAATACAGCATAAATGAATATTTGCTCCCTCCGGTGCCAGCCAAAATAAATGTTTATTCATAAAGTCTTTTTACATATTTACATTTGGTTCCGTTGTGCACACAGGTCATGCATGCCCACGCTCAGTTCTGCATGAGCGGCGATCACACCTTGGAAGGGACAGAGCATGCCATTCGAGAAATCGCCAAGGAAGAGGCCGATGAATATTTTGTTATCGTCTTGAGTGACGCAAATCTCGAGCGATACGGTATTAAACCATCAAGGTTTGCCGAGGTCCTGACCACCAATTCTCAAGTCAATGCTTTTGCCATATTTATAGGATCCTTAGGAGACCAAGCAGATAGGTAAGTATATGTTATATCCCTAAAATAACTCTGTTTCCATTCATCGTAAAGCAAAACTATGCTGGGAAAAAAAAAAAATAAATACACTATGCAGGAAGCACTTCTTTACTGTGTGAAGGACTGGCTTGGGTTGCCCATGGAGGTTGTGGAGTCTCCTGCCTTGGAGATCTTCAAAAGCCACCTGGATGTGGTGCTGGGCACCCTGCTTTGGGGGTCCCTGCTTGAGCAGGGGGTTGGCCCTGATGGCCTCCAGAGCTCCCTGCCAGCCTCAGCCGTGCTGTGATGCTTTTAATGCAGTGAAGTTAGGTATAGTTGCCCGTGCTGGTGTTCTCCATTAAGGTTTTGATCTACTAAAGAGAAGCAGTAAGCTTTAATTTGTGTCAGGAAGGAGACTTGGTTCACAGGTCTTTGCAAACCTGCCTTGCAGCCAGCTAATTCAAACCATTGTGAACATCTTAAAGGAGCAACTGAGTTTGTCCTCCCACTGGAGGACACGTGCTGCCCACATCTGTAATACCACCATGTAATCATGACAGAGACGTGATTCCTTTGCTAGTGCCCAGAATACGGTTAGAAAATGTGTGGGCTTAAGGCATAAAAGCAAAGAAGCTGGAGATTTATGGTCTTTAAAACTGCCAAGAATTTGACACAGATATTCCCCTTGCGTTAGAGACCTAAATTCTTTGGAGGGTCTGAGCCAATGTGCCTGCTTTTAGTGCTACTACATAGTTGTACTTCAAACTGCTAGGGCACAGGGGAAAATGAGGAAATTCTGTCTCAGGTGATGTTCTGCATCTGCTGAGGACCAGCACACACAACAGAAAGCTGTTACAGCCACAGATACTAACAGAGCCTTTTCTGCTTCTGTTCACGTCTCTGAATAGAGCAGAATGAGGCAAGGCGCAGAGGGTGTTGGCCCTCAGTTTTGATACGAGAAGGTTTGAAAGATAGAGCTGCACAGGCAGCATCAGTCCTGTCTGCAGGTCTGTGCATCACAGAGCTGCTGTCTGCATTAAAAAAAATCCACTCTGAAAGGCTGTAATTACAGAATGTCCTCTTACGTCTGCTAGGAGTATAAAAAAGGAGGAAAAAAAAATAAAAAGGCAAAGCACTGACCATATCCTGCTGTGTAAGAAGAGATCTTATAATTGCCTAGTTCAGCGGGTATGGGACATGCACACAATGCTGTCACTGAGCTGCCTTTCTATGTATGTGTAAGTGCAGAATTAGACAAAGCCTTCCTGTAGCTGCTGGAGGGGGAAGGAGAAGGGAATTCTTCGCAGCAGCTTTTTAAAAACCCACTTTAACAGTGCAGCTGAACGCTGGAGAGATGCTGTGGAGCATAACATAAAACTTGCTTAAAAAGCAGTGAGAAAATAACTTCCAAGCCTGCTGGCTGGACATGAGGGAGGTGGATTTAGTGAAATACGTCTTGTTTGGCTATTTTTAAAGGGAGGTTAAGCTGTGGATAAAAATGTGTCAGGCTAATATTTGTAGAAAAAATATCTGTCCATCTAATCTGCTGTGGTCTAGAAGAGGAAATACAAAGAGCACATTTAGAATTGCTCAACGTGTCGAAATGAAAGAGCTGTGAGTTCAGTCAAAACACGGTGATACATTTAGAGCAAGTAAATATCTGCCTTTCCAGAGAAAATGTCTGGCTGCCATCAGAAAAACAGATGCGTTAATACCTTGCTGGGACATGGGTACCTTGATCAAAATGGATTTTTTGCACGTCAGAAAGAGGATGTGAATAAAAAAATCTCTAGAAATAGCCTTGATTGTCTCGCTGAAGGGACCTCTGCGACCTAACTGCTTTCAGTGTTTCCTCCCACTGCTGCTTTCCCAAGCCCTTAATTGCATAGTGACAGCAACACGAATGGCATGTACTGCAAGGTATTCAGAAGTAAAAACATCCTTTCTTAAGGAGCTCCAGCTTGCTGTAGGAAACGTAATTGGAAATGGTAATTCTGCCTTGTCCCTCCTTCTGCTCCGCAGGCTGCAGAGGACACTGCCAGCAGGACGGTCTTTTATTGCCATGGATACCAAAGAGATCCCCCAGATTTTGCAGCAGATCTTTACATCGACCATGCTGTCAAGTGCCTAGCCATCCCCGACGTCACGGTGCGGGAATTCAAAGCAGAAACCCACTCCTGCTGAAGATACGAACCCTGAAGCCGAGGATAAACAGCTACTAATGAAATGCAAACTGTTCTCTCATCAGCAAACCAACCCAAATCTGCACTGCAGCTGTGCTGGAAAATTTCACCGAAATTCCCTCAACCAACTTCACGTGTTCAAAGAACTGCAGTGGGGCTGAGGTAAATCTCAGGAAGGTTACCGAGTGACTGTTCTTCCAGAGGGACAAATAAATAAAGGACACTTTGTGATCATTACTCTGGCTGATGGGTTGCCAGCACCGCCGCATCATCTCACATGGTTTTACTGACATGGTTCTCTGGGATTTGATAATATTACACAAAGCAGAGCCAGACAATCTGTTTCAGTGTTTTGTGTGCATATGTTTGAATGGGTAGTTAACTCTGTCTCTAATTTAAGCAGGTCTGCTTTTGTCAGGCAGGAAACCCTTCCTTCCTCTGCTGTTGCTTTCTTGTCCTGGTGGACATCGGGGCTTCGCCACTGGAGGCTGGAACAATGGAGTGGTTTGCAAACACTGACGGTCACACGTAAACATTCATTATCTGATCAGGCACGGGGCTCAGCATTGTCAGATCTGGAGAAAGTGGCTGTTAAGAGGGGGGGGAAATGGTTATTTCAGTTCTGCCTGTGAAAAGGGTCAAAACAGTCTTAAAAACCCACCGGCCAACATTGCCCAGAGAAGCTGTGGATGCCCCATCCCTGGAGGTGCTCAAGGCCAGGCTGGATGGGGCTTTGGGCAACCTGGGCTGGTGGGAGGTGTCCCTGTCCATGGCAGGGGGGTGGAATTAGATGGTCTTTAAGGTCTCTTCCAACCCAACCATTCTGTGATTCTGTGATTTCCGAGGACGGGATGACTACACCAACTCCTTTCCATGATGAATGATGGAGTCCTGCTTTGCTTTTCTCCAGAGTCCCTGGAGAAAAGGCCTCAGTACCTGGAGGTGCCTTTTTGATTGAGAGACAAAACAGTTACTAGCACTTTGCTAGAGCTTCGTGATCTGTGTTGTTTGGGTCTGTTGAAGGCGAAAGTGGATGAGAGGTCTAGACATGAGAAAATATGTTACTTTTTATAAAGGAAAAAAAATCTGTTTTCATTTTATCAAGACATACATGTTGGAATATAGTTCTTCAATATCTAAAATATTTATAAAGACGAAATTCAGTTGGCTGCTGTTTGGCTTGTCCCTTGAGGCAATAATCCCTCCCTATAAACGAAAGAACAGATATCTTGCAGTGCACTGGGAACACAGGAATACTTGAATTTATGATTTAACTGAGCTGGGGGAGGGTGCATCATCTCTGGTACTCTGCTCATATTAAGTTAGGTAGCTGATTAGAATAAAGTCAGGGAGAGTACTCAAAAATATGAAGGAGGAGTTGCAATATTTCTAATATTTCTCTTACAGATGCTGAAACTGCACTGTGGATGGTATTTTTGGAAGAGAAGAGGCAAATTACTTTGATTTTGTTAAAATCAAAATCATTTTTGTTAAATACAGAAGGGTTTAGTGTTTGAAGGGTCTAGTTTCTAATGGCCGTTCCCTACCACGCATGTCCTGCAGCAGCCTACACCTTTACCTTAAATTCCCCCCAAATCTCCTGCTTTTAGGATTTGTTTGGGCTTCTGGGGCACAGGTGTTGGCACAATGGCTTTTTTTTGAAACAGCTGCAGGCTTTGAGCTGGTGTAATGGCACGTCCTGCCGAAGTCCCGTGGAGCAGCTGTCCCCAGAGGGCCGCCGAGATAACCGCCTGGCTTTGATGGCCCGCCCGGCGTCAAACCTCTCCGTGGTACACGGGGACGGAAGGCGTTTTTCAAAGGTTTGCTGGGATTGTTATGATGACTGCGTACATGAAAACAAAGAGGTTAAAGATGCAATTCCTGTTTGGAGGAGACGGGGAGGGGAGCGCTGCGTTGTCCCCGGCTGGGACAAATGCATGCTCGTGCACATAAACAGACCCACAGTACACGCAGGCATGGCTGCTTGGTGAAGCATGCTTCAAAAGAGAAATATCCTGGTCCTGTAAACACAGTGTGAAATACTACATGCAATAAAGAATTAGCATATTAGGGCTCCTGTTGATAAATGTATTTATAATGGAAATTTCTTCAGCACCTCTGCTTTTCCTGCCAGCAGTTCTTCAGAAGGGAAGCGTTTGATGACAGTTCATTAGCGAATGTACAGGACACCTTCTAGATTACTCGAGTGGATAAAATCTCTCACTCCAGATTTACATATCCTATGATAATGGTATCGTTATCATACAAGAACAGTGTTAGTTAAGAGAGGCTCTATGGTAAGTTTAATTGATTTTTAAGCCCTTTGTGTGGGCATCCCTGTAAATCACGTTGAGCATCACGCTATTTCAAGCCACCCCTCTGCACCGTTTGGCTTTATTCTCTGCTTCAGGACACATCTGTTGCGTTTCAGTTCATGTTTCACGGGCCCACAGGGTACAGCCTCAGGGCAGGCACTGCAGGGAGTGTGGACGGGGCAGTGTGAGAGCTGTTCCTGGTACTTTTGATGAATGGACCGGTTCAGGCACCCGTGTTGTGCACCACTCTTGTTTCCTTTGCTAGTGTATGAAGATGTTTTTTCCATCTCTCTCACTATTTGTTACAGCACCTCTGCACTCATCTAATTCTATGAAAAGGCAGAGCAAACGACCAGAGCCGTCAGTCTGAGTGGGTCCTGACCCATCACTAATGCCTTTGTGAGCACCTCTAGTCATATTAACAATTTTAACTACCTCTTATAATGCAAGTTTTGGTCTAGACCTGTTTATATACACAACGTGTTTGTTCTCACTAAATATCCATTTGATAACAGGAGAGAGCCATTTAGGATTACTATTTAAATAAGGTGCAAGAAAAATATGTATTTATTTATATATAATATAAAGCCCAGGCAGGTTTGTTTCAAGCAGAGCAGAACACATTCACCATTTAAGAACACGCAGCCTGATGGTCCTTCATGGGAAAATGGTGTTAGCAGAAGTGTGGGGAGGGACTGGGAACACTGGACTCTAGCAGTACTTTTTTTTTGTTTTGTTTTGTTTTTTTTTTTTCCCCACCAGTTTTCCTTACAGACATCAGGCGTCAAACACAATTCTGAATGTCACCTTAGAGTTTAGCCATGAACCTGATGGAGTTAAGAATAAAGGTTCTAATTGCCGATCAGATAGATTCAATATTTAGGCAAACAAACATACAACCGATACTGCATTTAAAAAATAAATAGAAATAATATAAAATTAAATTTAAAAAAATGCTTAATTGGGAGTAGAGATAAGAGATACAAGACTGCCAATTCTTCTTCACCTAAAATGTTAAGATTTTTTTTTAATTATTACAAGACAATTATTGAAATTGTTTGGATAACAGCCCAGAAAAACAAATGCAATTGTGCTGTGTTTGCTATTGCACATTATCTTGTTTATTAATAAATAACATTCCTATAGCAAATGAGAATGTACAAGATATTTATTGAAAAATAAAAATGAAATTCCTAAATACGTATTGAATCTGGAAAGCTGATTTGAAAATGTGATTGTTGTACAGAAGCCCTGCCTTAGAAAAAGCTGGGGGTGTAATTACTGCGTTTAAAACCTTTTCAGTGTAAATAGTTAATGTCTTCAGTTTGTCTGCTGTACGTATGATGGAAGTTGTCATTGAGTTCTTCGCTAATTCTGCTTTTGGAGCAAACGTGTCTGTGTTGACCTCAGCCTTTTAAAGCACTTAAAAAAAAATTAAAAAAAATGTGCATTTTATCATTTACAGTCCTTTCTGCCAACATCTGGTGAGAGCAGACGAGCTCTCCCAGCCTTGTAATGAACCTTTTAGAAATACATCTCCCATTCATTCCCTGGGTGAAATATGGTGATGGCACTCAACGTGCAGAAGCACCTCACACGTGTCAAAGACATCTCCAATGCAATGGGTGTCCGACAGTCCCTGAGCATCACGCGAGGGAATTTCCAGTCTTCAACCCTGGGCTGATGCTCTGGACCTTACAGTCAGTGAAGGATAGATGGCCATGTAAAAGTATTTGAGCATTTTGGAATAGATATTGGTGAAGACAAGACACTGTATTCATTGAACTAAAATATGTCCAATAACTTAGGGAACTGTGCTATTATAGAAATGTTGCTCAAAACACCTCTCCATGTATCTGTGTGATGTGCAGTTTGTAGTAAACAGATTCCCGTAGAAAATGGGCTTTTTGAAAGCAAACCTTTCAGTGGGAGAAGGATTGCAAATAGAAGGACCTGGGCGTTACACCAGGCATTTTAACCTTTAAAAGAGAAAAGGTCTCCCTTTGTCATCAGCCGTGCACTGGTTCAGAAGCAGACTGTTTCAGAAGGTCATGTTACAAAACTACTGCATAAATGCAATTTTAGCAGTGGCTGATTTCTCAGTATGCACATTGCTGCGGCGTAGCATGCAGTGTCTGTCCTGTACCAGCAAGTCTGAGAAAAAGAAGAAACTGAGTTACACTCTGGTATTACAAGCACTAAAGGGTTATCAGTACTGCTCAGTCTTCAAACTCATTTAAAAAAAAATAGGATCTACAGTGTCATCAAAATAAATAACGAATTGCCTAACTCAGATAAAGTCTTCTTGCTCTTGAGATTGTTGTGACGAAATCCGTGTGGGAAGGTTTGAAGAACAGACTCAGCATTCTTCAAGATGAAGATGATGGGTTAGTGTTTTTTCAAAGCCCAGGAGAGAATAAAATTTGAATGATTTATTTGTCAGGACTGTCCTCCTACTTTTTGCAAGATAAATAAGCATATGCAAATATATTTAAAGAAAAAAAAAAAAAAAGCAAAACAGCCTTATTCAGAGCATCATTTTTATTCTGAACATCTGGCATAGGCTGCATGCAGAAAAATTGTGTTGTCCACACTATACCTGTGGAAGGTCCTATGCAAGAAAAAAAGTAATCACAGTAAGTACAGTGATAACTGGAAATGTAAAAAACATCTCCAATTTTGATGCCAAATTCCCCAGCCACTGCGTGAAGTTTTGCTTAGGCCAGGCTGAGCAGTGCAAAGCCAGGCAGGGCTAAAGCATCCTCATCAGTAAAAGGCAGAAAATAAATTCCTCCCTTACCCCAGGCACGTGTTCAGGATGAATTGAGGCTTGTTAACATCAGCAGACAAACAGTGGCAGGGGAACTGGACTAAAAGAAGCATGTTCCCTGACTACCATTATTTTTCCCCCTTTTTGAAAGCTTACAAGTTAGTGCCTTCTGGTGCAAGCCAAGATTTTGAAGTCCCTCCATCCTCTTACTGAACCATTCACTGAGTACTTATAAGTGCAATAAGATGCACAAATACAAAATAAAATACAATTAAAATAAAATAAAAAATAAAATAAAAAATAAAATAAAATAAAATAAAATAAAATAAAATAAAATAAAATAAAATAAAATAAAATAAAATAATGAAATAGTCCTTTTTATATACTAGGTCTCAATACAAAACGCATTCTTGGCAACACCCTTTTCAATTCAAAATCATTAAATGAGTGAGTATTTTATGTTAACTTCTCTGGACAGGCTATCTGAGCAAGATGACAATATTACATGCAGACGGTGGTTTGGGAAAAGTCCAAAAATAGCATTACTTGGTTAGGAAAACGTTATATGGGAGCGTGATCCAAGGAGTGGTGTCGTGGCTATTTTTCCTGTTATCGTGACTCAGTTATGTTGCATGCAGCCCGTACCACCGTCTGCATTTCAGCTTGGCTTCGTTTTACATCCTTAGGTCACCTACTAAGGTTTCCAAACTGGGGTTTACAAATAAGCTTTTGTTTTTTGGAGAAACACAATTGGGCAGGGGCAGGGATGCGCTGGTGTCGGTTTTGCATGAGCCATGTGGTGCTGTACAGAGCAGCATCCTGCACCAATAAATATTTGGAGGCAGAATCATCCAAAATATCTCTGTGCATCCCTCCCTATGCCCACAGCCCCTGCCCTGTTCCTCCTGCTGCTGTGAGGGGGAAAGGGGAAGGCTGAAACTTGGTGTCACAGCGAGGGGACAGGCCCCAGGGCCTCGCTGCATCCCTTCAGCAACAAGGGGGTAACGTGCCAGGATGAGCCAAATGGCACCAAAGCCGCAGCTGCTGCAATCCTCCCCATTTCTCTGACACTCCTCTTCAAGGAGGGCTCCATCGCCCTCTTTGTTAAGGTGCATTTGTGAACTCCAAGATCTCCTCTCCTTTAGTACCAACTCCAGAAGCAGCCGACCTCTCTCCTCCGTGTTTGCACTGAGATCACCTGTGAGTTTTCATCCATGTACAAATGACAAAATTATTCAGCTAGAGAAGAGCTAGGTGCTGACAATGGCCAAGATACCATTTACAAGTAACACTTTATGTAGTTAATCCAATACTTGGAATCACAAGATAATAACAAAAAAAATAAATAAATGCAAGTCATTACACTAATGTCTAAGTATAGCCTGTACAATGAGATTTTTGAGAAGACATTTGCATACTCTGCACATCACTCATGATAAAATCCATTACCCAAGTTGTTGTTTGTGTGTGGTTTTTAGAAGCATCCTTCCTTGAGCAGTGGTCACACTCATGTCAAGTACTTTGCCTCAGGAGCGGGATTTGTTAGCTGAAAAAAGGGAAGCAGCAATTATTATGGCTTGATTTAAGGCCATGTTGCAGCTTTTCATTACTTAAAGGGAACTTACAAGCAAGAAGGAAGGCTCTTTTTAAGAAGTGTAGTGATAGGACAAGGAGTTACGGCTTTAAGCTAAAAGAGGAAAGGATTCAATTAGATGTTAGGACGAAATTCTTCCCTCAGAGGGTGGTGAGGCCCTGGCCCAGGCTGCCCAGAGAAGCTGTGGCTGCCCCATCCCTGGAGGTGCTCAAGGCCAGGCTGGATGGGGCTTTGGGCAACCTGGGCTGGTGGGCGGTGTCCCTGCCCATGGCAGGGAGTTGGCACTGGGTGGTCTTTAAAGTCCTCTCAAGTGCTGTGGAGAGTGGCTCTGGGCAGTGTCTGGCCGGACAAGCTGTTGGCCTCCTCACATCCCACCAAGCATCTTCCCCAGCCTCTCACTCTTCCAGACCAGGCTTTTGCGAGGCAGCATCTCCATGTTTTAGGATAAACCTGCTCAGTGCGTCCTCCAGAAACCAAACACACCTCTAGAGAGCACCCAGGGGCATCCCATCTGCCACCCCAACCTAAAAGGAGACGAAGCCAGGCAGCAGACAGCAAAACAAAAGGTCACCAAGTTTTTTCCATCCCCGTGGAGGAGTCTGAAAGCAGCATTATTGAGCTTAACTGGCTGCTCTGAACAAAGGGCACATTGTTTCTCTGGACAATTTATTCTACCAAAAGCATGTGTGTGAATGTGAGAAATTCACTCTGGCAAAACAGTGAATGTCAAAGTTTAGTCACTTTTCCTCAAAACTGGAACCCAAGATCTGATGGCTTGAAAAAAAAAGAAGGAAAAAAGGAAGGAAAAAAAAAATCAATCCCTTTTGAAATGCTAACATTTCCACTGAAAACTAGATGAGTGTCATTCGCTTGGCCCATAAATTTTTGTTGACTGCTGGAGATTTGGGTGGACCTGGACCCACGTGAGAAGGGCCCAATTTCCAGGGCTGGATCTCCACTTCCCTCTATGCAGCGAAGCTCACTACACATTGCTTTCTGCCCAGCTAACGTGCTGAATCACTCATGTCTCTAACCAGCAGCCAAATTCGGGGGCCTCCTCACAATCAATCTGCCCCTAGTCCTTCTCTTTTCCCCATTGGGGGGGAAAAAAAACAAGGTTTTTTACAGGTTTTTTTTTACAGAAACCTTGGTTTCTGTAAAACCAAGGGATCACAAACTGTGATTGGGGAGTTCTGAAAATCATTTATTTCAGGGAGCAAAATGTTGGTGAGTGAATGCTGGTGAGATGTTGTGTTGGTTGTGAAGACACAGCCGGTAGTGCATTTTAACCTTATGTTTTTTGGGACTCTAGCAATTTTATTGCTGGTATTAATTTTTTATTCAATCCCTTGGTGATTACCATAAAGCACGCCAAGAGATTTCCAATGAGCATTTACTTATGGAGAGAACTTCGAGCTAAACCCATGACCATCACCATCCCATGAGACTTTCTGTGGCCATAAGTAGTGCTACCTACAAGCCAGCACAACCCAACTGCATCAAGCATCTAGGAAAGATGGAGCTCCATCCTGTATGCCCACCTGAAGATGACTCCCTGCATTTAGGCTGATGGGTTGTGTTAATTTATTCTATGTGTAATTTATGCATATTTATTCAAAACAAAGTAGCAAACAAGATAGCAGTCGGAGGATTATGATGGGCAGTTTTCCCTGTCCTGGAAGGCAAAGTGAAGGTGTTGGCTCCTGGCACTGGGATGGTAGCACTCAGATCTGGGAGGGTTCACACCAGCCCCCAATGTGCAGGAAAGCAAGAGAAACCTAAGGACACAGACAAATAAGAAACTTAATAAGGTGAATATTCTCTCGTCCAAGGTCCCGCTGGCTGTACAGCACTGGTGCCAGCACACTGCAGGACTTTGACCATCACAGTCAGTGGCTGACTCATTTTTATGCATTCCCTCAGCTTTTTATAGCATGACTTTTTGGGAAAAATACTCACAATCAAAAATTTCTCTCCAGCCTCTCCAAATACAAAGACAGAGTTGGGCATTAAAAAGCCATAAGTTGCAGTTTGTGAGCAGACACCCCGTTGTGCTGCCACAGTCACTGTCTGGTTCGTGTGTGTGCTTGTTTTGTTTGGTCTTCCATGAAAAGGACCAGCCCCTTCCTTCCTCCCTCCTTTGTTCAGATAACTGGAAGAACACTAGAATATAACAAAAATACCCCAAAGCCCCCTAGCCTTGGAAACAACCCCAGGCTCTGGGTGCAGACTGCCAGACGTCACCCCATGACTCCTCCTTCACAGAATCACAGCACGGCTGAGGTTGGAAAGGTCCAGCCCCATCTGGTCCAACGCCCCTGCTCAAGCAGGGCCACCGTGTCCAGGACCACGTCCTTCCTTCCCTTTTCTGGGGGTGCACCCCACCTGCCACCTTCTCCAGCAGGAATTTTGTATCCCTGAAATCAGGTGGGCACTGGGCAAAGGACACGGAGTCTGGGTCTTCCTCCAGGACGTGCAGGAGAGCCCACCACGTCCATGTTCCTCGCATTCCCTAAGCCCCGTGAGTCCAGGAAATCCCAATCTCTTATTATCTTAAAACCAAAAATCCTGTTAATGGCTTTACCTCACCTTTGGAAACTGGCCCAGCTCCTTCTTGAGTTACTGACTTCAGCTGATGATTTGGGCTTTTCTTTCTTCTTTGTTTCAGATCATTCTTTGAAGAAACAGCACCCCAGCCTCTTGTGTTGTGGTCATCTGTCCTCAAGCTCGGCTCCACAAGTGTGGCTTCTTCTTTCTTTGTTCATAGACTAAATGCTGTCAATTTGCAAGTGATTAAAGAATGCACTGCACAGAGTGCATTTCAGCGTGATTTCTGTGGCCTGGTTTAAAAAATAAGTTTTAATGTAGCAGCTCTCCCATGATAACACTGAAAGGGGCAGCCCTGCTCTTATGAGTCCTTCAGGTTCACATTTACAGGCACCTCTCATCCAGCACTGCAGTACGAGAGACAAAAGCCTGCTGACCCAGCGCTTTATCCCTTATTAAAAGCATTTTGGGGGTTTAATTTGAGTCCTTTTTGAAGGTCAGCTCCCAACCACCTCGTACAAAGCGTGAGGATGGTTTGTGCTGTGTGATCAGGGCCCACCAAGCTTGGGGACATGGGTGGCTGGGAAGAGGGGAGATGGACAGACAGGGCATGGAGGAGGGAGGAGATGCGGAGGAGAGCTGAGTGCTGGCCCACACATGTTTGGGTTGTTTGGCCACCATCGTTTATTAGGTGATGCCTTTGGGAAGTTACATCCAGCAACGTTGTCCGTGATTTGCCCTTTCTGATGTTGGAGGTGCAACCATGGAGGGGTCTCAGCCAGGCTCAGCACTAACCCACCAGCTTCCTTACCTGCATTTGGAGCCAGATGTCCCAAACAAGGCACTAAAACACTGCCACAGGGCACTAAAACACTGTTCTCAAGAGCAGATGATGAACATGTGGCTGCCTGGGGACATCAGCTGCCGCTGTCCCTGAAGCAAAACCCTGGTGACAAGCACAAAGGGAGACTGAGCTGTGCCTCAAGAGAGAAAGAAATGGGATTTCTTTATCCCTCCTGAGACAATATAACAATATAACACTTCAAGGAGCTCATAATATCCACCTTTCAACTTTTACTTGCAAGCCTGATCTTTACCATACCACATCTCTCCCCAAAAGAGCATCGCCCCATTGAGCCCAGCAGCTTGAAGGACTCATCCCTCTCTCAGCCCCCGCTCACATCCTATATCACTATTTCCATTTCATCCCAAATTAGCAGCACAAGCAAATCGGGGAGTCGTGCTCAAAGTACTCCAGCTGCAGCATAACCGTACACGAACAAAGGAAAGCCGTGTTCCCCGGCCTGGCACCTCCCAGCAGAACAGCCCCCTCTTTGTGGTGTCAGAAAGCACAGCGCTATTCACGGCACTTTAGTTTCTGTTCTTCAGTAATTTCATGTTCATTGAATAACAACTTGCTAATTTTGTAGCGCCACACAAAAAGCACAGACGGGACAGATTTGTCAGCTGCTTTGTAGGACAGCCTGTAAAAAAAAAAAATCAGTAAAAAACAATAATTTTACCACTGAGTCTTCCATCAGCAGACCATTTTTCCCCAATCCCCAGCACAGACCTCTCCCATTAAGGAGATTTATTTTTGAGGCTCTACATTTGCAGGTGGATGAGTCCCTCGCCTCTGGTAAAGCAATTCCTTGAGGCTGATGGGTTATGTCATGGTCATGTTAGGAAGAAATGCATGGGGCAGGTCTCATGGAAGTTCATTTTGCATTTCCAGTCCTGTGAAGAGCTCTGAAGCCTTGTCAACAGCTGGGGTTGGGGTTTTCAAGCTGAGCCCAGCACAGCTTGTTGTTCTCTTGGGTTGTCCCAGCTCGTCAGTGCTCTGCTTTGTGGCCATAATCACTGTGCTGATCACAGTCCTGATCACAGCAGGAGAAGGACTGCCTTTCCATTTCATCCCTCCTGAGCTCCAGGTTAGTGGGTTTGGAGCTGTCACAGGGTTGATTTGCTTCCTTTCACTGTGTGGCCAGCAACCTAATGCCAGCTTTCATTCATAGATCCTGAAAGTCCATTTGGATACCAAATTAGGTGAAATTTCCCCCTTTTTAAGGGAAGTTTGTGACCCGTCTGGTTGCAGGGCAAGTTTTAAAAAGATGATGCAAGTCAGGCAAAAGATTAAAATGCCATAAGGCAAAGAAGAGAATAATTGTGTGTGATGTCTTCTCTGAAATCAGTTTTGAGACAGTTTGGTGTCTTATTGATGTATTTTGAATACTTGTCATAGCTGTAGCTGTCTTAAAAATTTCACATCTAGAGAAGGCAGGGAAAAATACAGGTGACTGTTTGACTTGAGTGTTCATCACCATGAGTGTTTGCACCTGCGTAGTTCAGCATGTCCTTGAAGACCTTGGAAATCCTACTCAATTGAGTGTCATTACAACTGAAGGGCAAGTGTTGGACCACTAAGTTTTGCAAAAATCCTGCAAAATCAGGAACTGGTTCCAGCTGGGACATTTAAAACTAGGCTCCTGGAAAGGTCTGGAAAGCTTTTTTCCCTCTTCGTGATGCTTCAAAGTCATACACACTTCAGACCGTGTTTTTTAAAAGTAATAGCTAAAAGGAATTCATGTAGCTGCAGTAACTATGTTTTTTTCTTTTTTTCTTTTTTTTTTTCTTTTTTCCACCTGACTGATAGTATCAAAACGTTTGTGTATTTAAGCCTAAGCCACGTATGTAAATAAGGGAGCAATGAACTGGATCGACCCGGTACCACTTGCTTGGCTCCTCATGGCTTCAGCAGTGGTAGAGCTCAGCCTCATGCTCCATCCTCTCCCTCCACAGACTGAAGAAATTGAGTTCTTCATCTTCTTCATTTGTGTCCTGGTTGAGGATAAAGCTTCACGTGAGCTCGCGGTGCTGGTGGAGGAGAAATTTTCTCTTCCCTGTGAAAACTCTACTCTGCCTGATCTTGTTTTGAGTTTTGGGTTGTAAAGTCACAGCCTGCGATTTCTGTTGCTCCAGTGGTTTCACTTCACTTAGAAACAGCTTCAGATGTTTAAATATTTGTAACTTAAATGGTTCACAGTGCGGTTAGCTCTTACTTCATCATAGTTTCAGATGGGGTTATTTGAAAATAAAATTTTTAAAAGGGAGAGAAAAATACTGCTAGCATGAGCCTACATTCAATTGGCACTGATGGAATGTGCCTGTGGGTCACCGGCAAGCAAGAAAGAGGTGAGGAGCAGCCCCATAGGTTTGCTTTTCCCCTTGTAAGACCAGCCTAGGACCTCCACAGGGCTCCCAATGGAAGAGACAGGAGCCTCAGAGGGCAGTGGAGAGAAAGAAACTTCACTGGGGAGCAGGGATGTGCTCAGAAACAAGGCTGGGTTTAATGCTGACCTCCAGCAAGGGCTGTGAGCAGAAATAGAGAAGGAAAACCTCGGGTGTGCATTATGTGCAGAAAATCGGGGTGAATTTTCATGGCAGTGCCTTTTACCCTTCGTCTGACACATAGACTCAATCCAAAATGAAGAATTTGAATGCAGCCTGCAAGAGACCAAGGAGAGATTTGGCCCACATATAACCCATGATAACAGCCTTTGGCCCAAGAGGCCTAAATCTGCTTTTAAAAGGAGTATTTTGGAGTGAAAAGAGACACAACAGCGTGTGCCTCTCAGAACCTGCCCCCAGTGCCTGATGCTCCTCCAGGAGCCCGAGGGGGGATGACAGGGCCTGCGCCAAACTGGGAGGCAGCACATCTCCTGCGGTGGCTGCTGGCTTCTGGAAGGGGAACACTTGCCTGCAAGGCATCCGTATTTCAGGCAAGGTCAGTCACTCCTGAGTCATGCAGAAGCAACACCAGATGGGTGGAGGAAAACATTCCTGCAGCCTTTTCCAAGCAGGGCGGGTGGCAAGTGCTGTGCCGGGTGTGACAGCATCCATCTAATATCCCTTTTGGAGAGCCCGCGCCCATCTCCAAACCCTGAAAGCCAAAAGCAGAGGGGAAGGAAGCAGAAATGGGTCTGGAGCTCACGTCGGTGTTGGATGAAGCACGATGGAGCAGCTGAGCTCTGCTGTCATCCCAGAGATGGCCCCGGGAGGGATGCGGTCACCTCGCAGCGAGTCGGGGCGCTGGAGGACACCCAAGTGGCACCACCCCGGCTGGCTCGCAGCTGCCGAGGACAGTCCTGCTGGCCAGGGGAGAGCCTGCCAGAGCTGATTCCTGCTAGGGAGAGTAATTTGTCACGGGGAGTGACAGGGGAGGACAGGGAGGAGGAGAGGAGAAGATGGGTGGAGGGGGAGAGAAAGAACAGGAGAGTCTGTGTCCTGAGACAGGCAGAAAAACACCTACGTGTGCTACATAAATAAATCCTACTTTTCTATCCCTAATTGTTTAACATGTGAAAATAGATCCTTGCTGTGCCTGGCTGATGGGTGCAGGGGGCTCTCGGTGCCTGCAGGGGAGTACCCAGGTGGCTGATGCTCCCTGGACAGAGGCAGGGACAGAGCTGCAGCAGCCACATCCATGTAACACCCCTTCCCCACCCACATGCAGAGACAAACCTTCCCCTGAAAAAGTTGAAAATCTCCTGATACTGGGCAATTTTAACAACAGCAAGGAAAGGGCAGGATTCCTCCCCTCACACACCTTGAGAATCTCTGTTCTCCTCTCCCTGGAGCATCTCCTAGCTCTCCAGAGTGAAAGCTTACAAGAAAGAAGAAAAGGAAGGAAGGAAGGAAGGAAGGAAGGGAGGAAGGAAGGAAGGGAGGAAGGAAGGAAGGAAGGAAGGAAGGAAGGAAGGAAGGAAGGAAGGAAGGAAGGAAGGAAGGGAGGGAGGGAGGGAGGGAGGGAGGGAGGGAGGGAGGGAGGGAGGAAGGAAGGAAGGAAGGAAGGAAGGAAGGAAGGAAGGAAGGAAGGAAGGAAGGAAGGAAGGAAGGAAGGAAGGAAGGAAGGAAGGAAGGAAGGAAGGAAGGAAGGAAGGAAGGAAGGAAGGAAGGAAGGAAGGAAGGAAGGAAGGAAGGAAGGAAGGAAGGAAATAGCACTGGCCAGGTTGCCCAGAGAAGCTGTGGAGCATCCCTCCTAGGAGAAGTTCAAAAGCCCTCTGGACATGGTCCTGGGCACCCTGCTCTGTCTAACCCTGCACGAACAGAGGGGCTGGATGAGGTGACCTCCAGAGGTGCCTTCCAACCTCAACCATCTGTGATTCTGTGACTGCTTCTTATGTTTTATCGCAAAAATGGACCTGCATGTATGTAGGGGAAGAAACCATCCACTCAAGAGCAATTGCACAACAAAAGGTCCCGTTTGCAGCCTGGTGTTTCAAACTGCCACCATTTCACCAAATCTACCAGGGACAGGTTGATTTCACTTGCAGATCGGGGTCAGTAGAAGAGACATGGGGTCACGCATAGGAGTTCGTGTTCTTCTGAACATTACCATATGACAGATAAGTGCAATGTTGACAGATAAGTGCAACGTTGGCCGGGGAGCAGCCTCCTTTCTCTGGCTTCCTGCATCACTCCAGCTCCTTGCTGGGCTCGCTGAGGTTTCGCAGCACAGTCAGCAGCTTGCTCAGCTCTTATTAAAGCAGGCAGTGAGCTAAAGGGGAAAACACGGTCTGCATCCAAGCCTTTAAAAACCGAAACGGCTGTGGCTTACACATACTGCACAGCTAGAGTAGGTCTTGACGTTTATTGCTCCGGCTGGGTGGTGCACGTGCCTGTAGCAGCGTGCGCAGTGCCTCGGCTGCCCCAAAGTGCATCCATCAGGCAGCACCATCGCGTTGTGAGCTGCTCACAGCCTGGGCTGGTGCTCGTTTGCCAAAGAGGCAAGAGGACACGCCAGGCAGATTCACACTTGCCATGCAGCAACAGCTTCCTGCCAGCCTTCGGGTGTTGTTTTTTGGAAAGCCTCTGTTAAAGGCAGTGTGTTTTTCCCCAGAATTTGGCCAGGAGCTAAATGTGCCGGAAGGTCCAAGAGGATGAATGTGTAGCCCTCAGTTTTTCCTCTGGGTTTGTGACGGTGTTATTAACACCGTTTGTTTGCACCTTTTCTCTGCAGTGCTGCATACAAACAGCACATCTAATCCAGGACCCATATTGGCCAGCCCACCCCTGAGGGTGCCACATGGGGGTGCCCATACCAAAGGGCATGAGAATTTTAAGGGGGGTTCATTCGTTCCTGAGCCTCCATTTTCCTACTGCTGAAGGAGTAGGAATGGTTTACTTTAGCTGGTAGAGTTTATTTTGGGGTTAAACATCCTCTACCCCAAGAAGCTGACTGCCAGGAGGGCTGGTGAATTTATCTGGCAGCTTGATGAAAACACAAAGATGCTTGCTTGAACCCACAGGGGGTTTGACAGGGCAGAAAATAGCTGCAGGTTCCCAAAACAAAGACATCTTTGCTCCCTTTAGTGATAACCGAGCATCCCGGGGGCTGTACTTCCCAGAGCCCCAAAGGGGATGGGATCAGAAGCCAGGTCCCACGGGGACTGCACTCAGAAGCAGCAAACACTGACCCGATGAACACGTATACATGCACATACTGTAAAAATATGCGCTTTTTTTCCACTTCTCCGCTTACATGAAATTAGATAAAGGCATCAAACCGGGCTCTGCGTGTCAGCTAACTGATCCCACACCACGAGAACTGGGGATGTCTGGAGGTTTTACATCTTTTTTCCATTAGGAACAAGAGACTGTTGTAATTCTGGCACTGAGATGAGCTGAGGGCATCAGTTTCCAAGCAAATCCCTATGATATCAGCCTGATTATGGGGGAAATAAAAGTTAGACAACACAGCAGTTGGAGAAACTCCAACAAATAGCCCTTGTCTGAGCAGAGCTGGGACAGCTCGGTTTTCCTGCCTGCTCCCTTTAGCACGGTCAGCTTGCAACCTCTTACTGCTACCACCTAGTAGGGTTCCTTCTTGATAAAAAGTCTACACTTGCAAGACTGACAGGTCTGTTCCCTTGCCGCTCGGTGCTCACAAAAGCCAAGAGAAATTAATATTTATCTTGGAAGTATTTGTTACGAGAAGCAAAAGATACAATGGGGCCAGCTTAATTTTGGGAAATGGTCCACAAACTGTAGAGGAAACCATCTGAAATAATATCGGTGATCCAGCAGACACGTATTGCAAATATATTTATACTTTTATGTATAAAGAATTAATTAGCTGTGCAGTGCTCAGGGGAGAGCAGAGCTGGTGAGGAAACGCCTGTGCCAGCCACATCATGGAGCAGGCACAGATGTCCCCATGCTGCCACCAGTGAGGAGCAGATCTGGCATCTCAATTCACATTCACCACCCCGCTGAGATGCAGACCCTCACACATCCACGTCCTTTTGGCTCCCCAGCTTCCAGTCGTGAAGCAGGGCACAGCATGCAAAGACGCACCAGCTCGGATAGCCCTTGGGATGTCTTCACCAAACTCTGCGGCATGGCAGGAGATGAGAAAGAAAATCGTGGCAGCCTTGAAATCCCACCCAACATTTCCCTGCTTCTGCAGCTTCACCTCTGCTACCAGCTCTGGTTTTAAGGGCTGTCATTGTCATGGTGCCAACCCTTCAGGCCAAGCTTTTATATGTATACATACACGCACACACACGCACGCCAGACCTCACAAGGCAAGGCTTTCCTCGGGAACTGGAT